TAATGATATGATACACTTAAGAAATAGAAAAATAATCGTATGATATAGAAACTGATTTGTTAGTGGAAGTTAAATTTTTTATTTTTTTATTTTTATGTTATATACATATAATTATTCGCTCTCATAATCGAGAGTTTCGTCGCTGTCACTGTTGCCAATGAGGTCTTCGCTTTCCCAGACAATATTTATAGACCTTGTCATTCCTTTATTTTCTGGATCATTTAGACACAAATACCGTGCATTTGATATCATCCACGAATAAAGTAAATAATTTCCTCACGATCAGCGATCCCTTCTTGTTTGGAAGAAGTCGAATTTCGAAACCACGCTTCTCGTAATATGATAAATAGTTTTACGCAAGAATAGCGTCAGCCATACTTTTGGTCAGCGGATTAAAATTCCTATTTGAAACAGCCGTGAAGTGTGTGCAATGGTGTTTCAGGGAGTCACGTGACTTCTCACCGAACTTACCACCGACCACTCGCTATACGAGATTTTATGAGAGTTAGGATATTCGACAGTAGAGAGTTTAAGATTCTCGTTTACGGCAAACGTGAAACGTCAGTTGACCATCAAAAAATTCTTTAAAATTAGTGAAAAAGAATCGCAAAAGTCTCCAAGTAGTAGATAAACAAAAGAATACTTGTCTTTGTCGAGAAAGTTTGCAAAAGGTAAAAAGAAATGTAGGGAAACGATGAAAACGTGGTCACGTTTGCCGTTTGCGGGAAGGAAAAACGGGAATCTTGACCCGCCTAGTACTAGTAGTATCTCTTACCTCCGTATGTAACGAATCCCTCGTAAGGTGATTTGGAATTCTTGCTGTCCTTGTCTTCTTCTTCCTCGATTGAATGTTTACTCTCAATTTCTGGCTCAGGTCTGACTTTTGGAGCGGCATGCCCTGGCACTAAAAGGGAAGACAATCTCGTTAAAATTGTCAAAAAACTGAATTTTTAATCCATTTAGTTAATTACGTTTTGCCAGAGTAACATTAAAAAGATAATAATAATAATAATAATAATAATAATAATAACAATAATAAATTAAATAAAATGAATGATAACCACAACTGATAAAAATAGCATAACCTAAAAGCAAACACATAAACAAGGAAACAAAATGAACAGAATATGAGGGAAAAAAGGAGAATTAAAAAGACGAAACAAGGAGCAAAGGTAAAGATAATTTTGTATTCTTACGACGAAATCCTTGTTTGAGAACATTAGAGATCTTTCTCCTGATACTGTAAGACGTTTCTGTATTCTCTTCTTCTTCCATCTTGCTTTGTACTTTGCCTTGTTCTTTGGTACCATTTTCTGGTACTGCAGAATCTATCTTCTCTTTGTGCTGGTTTTGTACCTGTCCAGTACACTCGGTCTCTTTTCGCACTATTTCGATAGCTTGTTTGAAGATTTTTTCCAAAAACTCTTTTATAACCTTCTCTTCTTCTACTGTTAACACGATTCTTTCTTCCTCTGGCTGGACAACGTAAGAGAAAAAAAAATAAAACAATGATTAATACGAGCATTTACGAAAATACCACATCTGTATCAGCTTACAACTTCGACGACAATTTCTAGCTTATAGCTTTTGATTACGCTATAAAAATAGTCTTAACTTTTAATAAAGGCAATCATCTACATCGATAAAAGTGCATGAGCAATAAACAAATGATAAAGCAAAATAAACTAAAGGATATCAAAAACATTGTGAAATAAGATTTAAACTTATATCAGTCAAAATCAGTCGCCATACCACATCGTTTTCTGTGTCCGCCATTTCTTTCTTCATCATCACCATGACACGTTCAAAAATCGATTTTAAGAATGCATCAACCGTGATTTTCTCTTTTTCTGTTAATACAGGTCTCTATAAAAAGAAACAAATAAAACAAGAATTCAAAGAAATATCGTAAACGATTAATGAAACATTTTACCTTAAAATTTAAGGCTGTCCAGAAAATAAAATTTAGTTAACTGAAAGTATGCTTACAAAACACTCAATTATAGAAATAAAAAGTTTGTTTACCTCATATTCTGAGTCCTCAGACTCAAACCCAGCATCGTAGCTTTCTTTCATTGCTTTATATTAGTGAATAAAGTGTCAAAAAAGCTCTAAAAATCTAAAAAAGTTGATCAAAGATAGAAAAATCTTCGGCTAGTTTTGAACAACGATCAGCAAGTACCAGAAAGAGGCTTCAAGACCACAATGCACCGAGAAACGACTAGATTTTATTAACCAACTTTTTACAAAAATTATTTTCATTTTATTTTCATTTAGTTAAAGCGAAATAATGGCACGAGAAGCCCTAAAAGTACGTTTTTGGATTGTTTATAAGTAGTACTTTGAGTCTCCAAACAAGAAATGTTATTAATTCGTTCCCAAAGGTGGATGGAAGATGCAAAGGAAATCAGTTGAAAGTAAGTTAAGATTATTTGTTCCTCAGTGCTTAAAGTTTATTTTCTATCAAATCATTATAGATAAACTTAATTATTGATATTTAATTGGATTAACTAAAACTTAAAATATAAAATAATGAAAAATAAACCAGCTTTAGCTGAACTAATACCGCCTTTCGTACGAGATTATTGGATAAAATAAGCTTGTATTTTGTACAAGAATATATTCTTATTGTTTATGAAAACATATAAAAATGACACTAAGTTTATATAAAAATGGTTATACAATGCACAACTTGCTTCTTCTAATTTATCTCAGTTAAGTGACGTTGTCGATGAGATTCGCAACTCACGCGTTGGCCTCAGAACACACTCACACCAGAATGTCTGTCAAAATAAACGGAAGGCAAGCAGTTTTTTATCAGTCTGTCTTATTAGTGTAAAGCTATTACATGAACTAAATAGGCAGATCCAATACCTAATAAAGTCTTGGGCCAGATCTTTTGGCGTAATCTGTTTAAAATGAAAGCAGAACAAAACTGAGTTTAGAATAATAAAGCCAAAGCGATTGTGTCCGCCATCTTGGATCTTGTCAAGTGATTGTTGTCCGCCATCTTGAATAGCAAAATGGAGATTCCAATTCATTAATCCACGCTAACTGAAGATGATCGTTTATATTAAGATATAAGGAAAGCTTCGGTTCTCCTTTTTTCTGTTCGATGCCATCCAAATGGAAAAAATTGACCTCAAATATCTTTTTAAAATGCATTCAACCCTGAAACGGGCACTTGGCTAATCTAGGTCAGGGTGTGGCTAACTCGCAGATCCTTAAATCAGAACAGAATTCAACTTACATTTTTTCAAAAGGTCAATCACTTTGTCTGGAATCCGTTCTCCTCGCTTGCTTTTTTCTTTTATTTCTGAAACGCAAACGAAACGTTGCTTCCTAAGTTACCACAGATATGCACTCATTTTAGTGTATTGTTTTCATAGCTTACTGTTTATTATCTCATCCATGAGAATGGCAGTCATTATTTCCTTCTTCACCCCGTCGTTTTTATCAGTCGGTTCTGTGACAGGAGTTACATGAAACAAAAGTAAGATTGGTTTAAGCCGGGTGGGAAAGCCAAAGAAAAAACTTTCAATATCTTTTCTTTAAACTTTTAAAAAAAGTTTCAACATAAAGGCAGTATCTATTTTTAATAGCCAATTACCCATCAATGCATACAGTAAGCGATCAGAAAAAAATTTAGACACCTTCAGACGAGATTTCCTGGCCAGAAAACGCCAGGAAATCAGTTGAGTGGTGAGCAGAGCCCAATAAATCTGTACCACGTGACAAATATGTACCACGTGACAAATCTATACCACGTGACAGATCTATACCACGTGACAAATTTGTACCACGTGACAAATCTGTACCACGTGATACAGTTAAGTACTGGCTCACTAATAAAATGCATCTTAACGATACTCCAGTTTCGAATTCTCTGATGCACAGGGTATGCCTTGGTTTTTGTATGGAATTATTTTAAATATTAATGTATTCCAGTGAAGGTCCGTGGAATTCCAAAGTGTTCGTATTGTTGAAGTAGTGCATTCCTTACTTTACCGTTGGTATTTGTGAATATTTGTACACTAAACGAGGCTATCTGAAATGATACCAACCTAGCCAGGTGCTTTCCAGTTTTTTAGGCTGATCTTCACGGTTTTTTTCTTTTAAGAAAAAAAAGGGGGGGGGGGGGTTAGATAATATTCAACAATCATGACACATTTTAGGTGCTTTGTAAATACTTACTGCCTTCCAGGTCTTTCAACAAATCTTCAGGATAGGATAGGATAGGATAGGATAGGATAGGATAGGATAGGATAGGATAGGATAGTATAAATTACCTCGAGTTAAGATCTCAAACAACCTCTTTTGCTTCTCATTGATCTCGTCTTCACTTAGCAAAACACCTGATATTTTTAGAAGAGAATGAAATGGAAGTAAGGGCATTCGCAGATTGAACTTGAATTGACTCATGCTAGATTATGCGGAGACCGGAAAACGATAGGCCTCCTTATCAAATGCCTCCACTCTGAATAGGGTTTTCAAATGTTCAAGTTGTCGATGTAATAGCTTAGCGTTTTCGATCGTTTCAGTGTGGACGAAAGACCAAAAGGCATCGAAAAATATGCGATGTCAAACAAAAAGGTATTAGTGTGAATGGGGCCTAAGTCGTGTTGGACAATCTACCAGCAAGAAGCATCGACACATTTATCACCGTTTAGACTTCTTACCTTTTGTGTCCGTGGTCTTCTTTGATTCCTCATATGTGGCTGTTCCTGGAGCAAAGCCCTGGAGAGCTGAATATTCATATATTGATTGGTGTATAATATCAAATACTGAATCTTGAACAACATAGTCAACACGACTTGCGCTTCAAACGCTTTATGAAATGGAATGAAGTTTTGACGTGCCAGGCCAAGGGAATAGGAAGGGAAAGGGAAAAGCCTTCAAGACTCAAGAAGCGAGGGCGCTGAAGGAAAGCAAAGAGGAAAAAATAGGGAGAAAAGATCTTCCTCTCCCCTCCCCCCTAACCCGCCCGCAAACCCTGTTTTGGCTGAAACGGGCCATTCTTCTTACCAAATTTATCAAGCGAACTAGTCTTGTCACCAGTTTCGTCACTTGGCTTCAAATCTTTTAACAATGATTCTGGTATTGTATCCTCTTCTTCTGAAATGGAAACTATATTTTCACTATGAAGCATATTCGTCCAAGACTGGAGTTTGCGCAAAAATGAATAATTTTGTTTTGAGTGATCCAGATAAAGGAAATCAGTTTCCATCCCCCTTTTCTTCAGTAAGCTGTGAGTCGAGGTTAAAAAAGTAGGTCAGAATAGTAGATATTGGAGAGCCTCGCCGGAGCAGATGGAGAGGTCTTTGGAAAAACCAAACGACGAGATGACTCACCTGCATCTTGTTTCTGATTGTCACTCAGAAGGCTTAGGCTTGCGAGATCTGGAAACATTTAAAAATACGATACGGCGTTCAACTGACAGAAAAATTCCAAGGTACACGCCAGGAGGCCGTACTCATTTCCCATTCCCCCCGCTCAGGAGCAAAGCAACCGAAAACAAGACTGCAACCCGATCGGGAACTATGAATGACCTTATGACCGACGTCATTGTCATGCATTTGAATACTTACGGGCTGTAAAACCGTTACGTTATACCAATTTCAAAACATTTTATCCTTTATAGGAATACCTTGTTTTATATTTATTTTTTCGTTTTTCTTTTCAATTTGAAATAACTATAGTTTCGTACTAGTAACCAACTAAGATTAAAACCTAAAATTGTTTAGTGTTTACGCCGTACTGTGTTTTATCGAAGCTTCATATAAGCGTTATGATTGGATTGGAGAGTGTTCTGGTATGTCGTGCCATGTATGTGCTATAATCATCGTGCTGTAATAAGTCGACAGTACCGTACTTTTCCACTCACTACAAAGATACTTTTAGACTGATCTATAGAAAGATAATGCGGTTGAAATATCAAGTTCGCTTACCTTTCTCCATCTCGCTCAGTTGGTCGTCAGTTGATTCCAAAGGTTTCGAACACGTTTGAATTAACATGAACGCAAGAATGACAAGAGCGAGCATCCATGGGTTAGACATTTTCAAACGATTAATAAACAAGGCTTTCGTAGAAGTGTAGGGCAGTGGTAACGTTCAGTGCTTCTATACTTGGCTTTTATCTTGTCAGTTAGAATTTACCGCTCTTGTATAAAATACAAATATCCAATCAGTGTTCGCCACGTCACATGATATATAATCTTGGGGTATGTCTGTCCTCACTGTGATCATTTTGAAAAAGCATTTCAATCACATATCGGTGTCACACTAGCCAGACAAGCCGTTAACCTCCAGTGCAGAAGTCAGTTCTCAGTAGTAGTGTTCTGATCTAGGCTGGTCTTCGTTAGATTACAACAAAGGCGCTAGAAATAAAGTCGTAAATGTTTTTACTTCCTCCAGGGAAAGTAAAGAAAATCTCATTTTGCTGCATTTTACTGCAAAGCAAATTCTTCACTCAATTGATGGGGATTGACGAAAGTTAAAGCTAGTTGAATCGAAATTCAAAGATTTTTTCACTACCGCTGAACTTTATGGAAAGAGTAAAGTTTACAGAAGATTACATACAGTGCTTTAGAATCCGCACTCGAAATCGCGTACAATCCGACAAAGTGTTTCCATGACATTTGTCGGGGGAAAAAACGTTTCAATAAAATGAAAAAGCCATGAATCATCCCGGGGGATTGGGGGGGGGGGGGGGGGGGGGGGGGGGTACTCCCCTATATTCGCTATACGGGTACGTGCCGCCAAACAGGGTGTGCTTTTCAGCGATTCTACTCTGGAACAGGGTATATGAAATCACGTTCTCTCCTCTCTGGAACAGGGTATCCATTTTCGCGATACTGAAATAGGTTAGTTATGATTTTCAGCGATCTTGCTCTGGAACAGGGTATGAATTTCAGCGATTTTACTCTGGAACAGGGTCAGGGTTCAGAGAGCTCAGCGGCACATCCCTACCCTAAACGGGCAAGAGTACCCCTCCCCCCCCCCGGGTGAATCATAAATCATGGTCTATTGGTTTCAGAAAATGTCATGCAAACTACATCCTCGCGACGGCATATCGCATTTGACTGGGAAACTCTAAAAGTTTCGAAACTAGCATTTTTTAAACTCCGCTTTTGCACTGACAAAGTTGCCCTGGGTGCCAGAGACCCGTTTGGTGGGTTTGGGGACCAGGGAGAGCAATTTTCTCTGCAACATGTCTCGCAACAGCGTTGCGACACAAGTTGCATGTAGCATTGCAGCATGTAACCTAAAGCGCAATTTGGAAAAATGTTTTCTAGACAATTTGCAGCAATCGTTGCGAAAAGTAGAATTTGTTCCTAATTTTGGCAACGATTGAGTCCGTTGCACCGTGTAAATACTCTTGCAGCTTGTGTCGCAACGCTGTTGCGAGACAAGTTGCAGAGAAAACTGCACAGTGTAATCGCGCCTTTAGGCGTGCGCACTTCCTCGTCTGTTTTCTTCTTTTCCATCGCACTTGTTTGTCTTGACATTTTGTCCTTTAATCGTAAAGCTATCGGAGGATCAATGCTCAGGGGCTTCATATAAACGACATTTTCATTCCCGAAGCTTCTATAGCACGTAAAGGACCTATTATCAACTAAAGTCTGTTAGGCAAAAACATTTGCTGGATAATAGTACTCTTCCATATCCCAAGGCAGGAATTTAAAATCTTTTTATTTGGAAAAAAAAATCTCATTTATGGAATGCTTAGCTGATAATGAAGTCCTTTAAGGTTTCTGCAGTACCGTTGACGTGATAAGATCCAAGAGAGATTTTTCACTAATGGGGTTATTCATGAAATAAAAGTGTCCTCCAGATATCACATGTCTGTTATATGCACCATTTGTTACCTGACTCCAACCTACATAAGAATGAAATAGAGAATATTACATGGTCGCGTGGAGATATGGATTTTATCTTCGAGTTTTGAGGTGATATTCTCAACACGAGAAGGTAAAATCCGTTCTCCAAGCGGCCATGTAATATTCTGTTTGATATATGATTATCACAATTTTGGTGTATTTTTACTATTTTACGCGGTTTTCAATATTTTCACATGTGAAGACGTATCATTTAATCAATAGTATCTTTACACGTGAAGATATCTCTTTTAAGTAAGCAATGGAGAAAAATAATATTCCATCGATTAATATATATTAAATACAAGTTATAACGACTCTTGGAGGCAGCTTTTGTCTGTGTAAAAAACAGTCTTAAGATAAATAAAAAATCTTGGGCTGAGAGCAAAATTTCTCAAACTTGGAAATATTTCGACTGTATTTAAGGAATATAAAACGGCGCGCGTGTATATATACCGTGATATAAAAACGCTGGGAGCTGTAGAGCAAGAGAGAAGTCGTAGAGAAACTCGAGGCGTCGCCGAGCGTTTCTTTGACTTCTCGAGTGCTCTACAGCTGCCATCGTGTTTATATCACATTATATAGACACAAGCGGACGTTTTATATCGCTTTTATAAAACATTTTTGAACGATTTTGCGCGAGCGTGTCTCTGTCCTCTGATATAAACAAGGTAGCCAGCCAATCAGCGCGCGCGCTATATCTAAAATATTTTATAATTCCAAATTCAAGAATCACATTCTCTTGCCCTCAAAGCGCAATGGAAATAAATGTCTAGCAGTAGCTGTTGAAGAAAGGCATAGCTTTATCTTTCCCCATTAATTTCTTTTTGTATTTGTAGTTTTGAGTACAATAAATTTGTCTCATGGAAATACCAGACTGTCTGAGAATTCAAAAATGAAAAATACCACACATCAAATGAATGCTGCTTATCATTAGGTGGGTTTAGTACTTAATTAATTAATTGCACAGTATAGTTTTTTAAATTACACTGTTATTAATTAATTGCACCAATTAAGAAAAAAATGACAACCAATCAACCAATCAGAATCAAGTTTTTTTTGTAAATTTGTCATTAAAATAAAGTCATTGTATAATACCTTCTTGGTGGTGTAGATCGGCGCTACCATCAAAACATGTTATAGGACACGACAGCACAACCATATCACTATTGTCGGGAACAAATCTGACATAATAACATAATAAATGAATTGTTTAATGAATTATTAAAGTAATGATAAAATTACATGTAATTAAGTTTGAATGATAACAACACCATCCACATGAAATATTATAAGAAACAATGAGAGATTGTAAAAATGATTAAAACAAATGTAGACATCACTAAACATAATAAATTTAAGATCCAAGAAAATAGTGTAAGGAGAAAAATACGTTCAAGACCACGAGTTTATCAGTTGAATTCAACACTGTCAATTTTAACTGCGTCCTCTATAAACAAAGTTATTTTTGTACTTGTACAATGATTCATAATGATTGTTATTCTTAATGTTTATTCCTATAAATTCTATAGATAGCATCAAAATCAAATTACTATAAAAACCAACGACCAAAAAAACTAAAATTAAAATTAATATCAATAGATTATCAAATTAAAGTCTTAGTCTGTGTTAAACATTTATTCAAATGTTTCCAAGTTATAAATTTGTGCCAATGTAACTGCCTGAGCAAGCAATTTCAAATTTGCCTCTGGGAAAGTCAAGATTGATTAAGATTTTAAGGATAGGAGCTTGATTGACAATCTATTAGACTCTAAGAAATGAGGTCTCATTTTTAATCGATCCTGGAATCTTTCCCGATTATGAATCTCTAAGACAAGATCTTGCCATAGCATTTTCACTAACAATAATCAACTGTTTTAACCTGTAATTTTCCAACAGAGTGAGATCAGCTCTTAGTATTCGGACACTAATATCCATAATGTCTTTGTTATCAAGAATAGCCTGTGGTGTTCCTCCCCAATGTTTTATCTTGTCGGCAAGCTGTTCATTAGATAGCCGAGATGCACCAGCTGATGTTCTGGGAACCTTCAAAAGAAAAGTGAATTAAAACAGAAAATGATTTATCAGTGAGATGAATTTTAATTTTCTTCCTGGAACAATACTCCAGTTTTTAGTTCTCTGTTACTCAGGACTCGCCTTTATGCAGAATATTCATGTGTTTGAGTAAAGGTCTGTGGAATTTCAAAGTGTTCGTGTTGTTGAAGTCATGTATTCTTTACTTTAACGTTGCTTTTTGTGAATATTTAGAAACATTCATATACATTATTCATTAATTTATTATTAATTAATTATAACCATTGTAAATACTTGTAACTACATGTAACAACCAGTCTCATACTAAGGTGGAACAATTTTTAATTTATCCATATCATTATTAATCATATATTAAATATAACTAAAGGTGCTATTACTATGTGAACTGTTGAGAGAATTTTGGTTTTCATTACTACAAGTCCAAACTATAAAAGATAGTGACTGATTATTTAACAATAATAATAATAATAATTTATTAACTTATATCTTGGTGCATTTCCATAAAAAATGAATGAGTTCGCCTAATATTGAAAATTGCTATAATTGATCTGGTTATAGCATTTATTGGCATATTCAGGATGATTTTGAAAATGATCGCTTTATGGCCCTTTTTTCCCAAAATTTGGTGACCAACCTCCCAACCCACTATATTGTATAGTACCTCAGGCCCTGAGGTACCAGATATTAAGAGATGAGATGGTTCCAATCCATAGTGCTTCTTTAAGTATCTCGCTGTTTCAAAGGCAATTCCAGCACCTAAACTTTAAAGACAAGGAAGGCAATATTGCACTTTTATTCAAATGTCTATACCTTTTATAATGATAGAGGCATGGGATTTTTGAGGAATGAGGAGAAATTTAGCTGGAGATTAGAGTGCATAATGAGGGAATAATGTCTTTGTTATCTGTCTACCCCTGTCAGGTAGGTGGGTAGACTGATTCCATAAGTTGCTCCCAGTTCGTTCTCTGTCGATTTTTTTCCTGATCACAGGTTGAATGACCACCAAGCTCAAAGGAGAGAAAACTATGACTAAAACTATGAAAACTATTTAAAAAAACTAGTTTTAAGGCACGATTACATGGAGCAATTTTCTCTGCAACATGTCTTGCAACAGCGTTGCGCCACAAGTTGCATGCAGCATGTAACCTAGCTCAATTTATAAAAAATGTTGCGAGACAAGTTGCAGCAATTGTTTGTGCCCTTGCTGCACCATGTAAACACTCATGCAACACTGTTGCAAGACAAGTCGAAGAGAAAATTGCTCCAAGTAATCATGCCTTTAGGGTATTTTTTTTTGAAATTCTTTGCTAGTATAGCTATGGACCAATAAGCTAAATGACCATAAGTTCACGGTGGGGATGGTGGTAGGAGGGGAGGTTAGGAGTAAATAACCAATATTTTATTTTCATATTTACTAACCTATGCCCCCATAAAACGAACTGTTTATTTTCCAAGTCTTTGTGGATATCACGACAAATTTCTTCCACAAGGACTTTCCAGTCCGTGCAGAACGGCTCCGAAAATCGATTCTCTCTTCCCGCCAAGCACACTCCATAAACTAGACAAAAATTATGCAATTCACAAGTGAGTAGTCTTCAATATAAATAATGCATACAATATATCCAAATATCTGTAATTTGGTCATTCATGAATGCACGCTTTATATCATACTTTTGAATCAAGTAGTTAGACGAGATCGTTGAGTTTGTACTTATTTACTCTTTCTTTTTTAGGGAACTCAATATTACAGTAAGATTTATCCTTATTCTACTGCCAAAAAAACCCCCAGTTTTATAATGTAATCATAAAACGGCAAATTGAATAGGAAAATAGAAAACAATGATCAATGATAATTTCCTCCCTTCACTGTGGTTGGCACTAACTCTTATTCATTTAATAAATATGTTTACAAAGTATCGTCATTGACGCAATTATAAAACAATAGTAATGTACAACAATATCAAAGACAACATTTACAATTATAAGAGTAAACTACAAGCTAATCAGAAATTGATACAATATTAACAATATTGACATGACATTTGGTTTTGAAGAATCGTACCTTCAATATTGTCAGGGAAGTTTTTGCCCCATTTAGCAGCGTAATAACTCGCTCCTCCACCAGCCCAGGGAAAACAAAGTAAATACACGCTAGGAGCTTGCTTTTTAAATATACAACGGAGCCATTTAGAGTTCATAACACAAGATATTCCTGGAAGCCTCGAGTCATCTCAGCCTACGAGGCACCCACGGTCATTTGAAATTAACTTATTCATCACGTGATAACAGCATACATAAGTATATTAGCCCTTATTTTGCATTCAATTTCAGTTTATTTTGGTTGTTTTGAGTTCTTAATTATCGTTTAATAGGGTGAATTTATTCTTTTTGAAAACATGGAGGGCTTTTATCCCTGCTGGTATTAAGTCAACTCGAGTTTTCTTCGCCTTCGAGGCATTTTTTTTGCTTTATCCGCCATGACAAAAGCCAAAGGACGAAAGCTCAAATTTATCAGCTGATCTTCAGCCGAGAAAAGGCTGTCTTAAAACTACTTCTTAATCATTACAATACATGCATTAGCATGGGAGAGATTGCTAATGACATTGAAAATCGTTGGACCTGCCCAAATGATCGGCAGTTGGTGCTTAGAGCCAAGTAAGTGTTACAGGATAGAAGTGTTAGTGTTTTTTAGCGCGTTTGATTTGTGGTCGAGGGGTCGCGAGAATTAACGATCGTTTATTCGATTCTTAATTATTAACTGTTGGAAGTGCAGCTGCATATTCTTACTAGAAACTCAGCCAAGCTACCGGAAGGATTACAGAGCTTTTCTTTGTGAGCAATCGTCGTATTTCTCCCGTTTGAATGTGCGGCTCAAGAAGATCTTTGGAGAACTGGCTTTTTAATCAAGCTGGATTGGTCCGCTGGCATGTGTTATACATCACCAAGAAAACTTGCCAAGAAATTCATCAAGAAAACTCATTCGAAGCTACCTACCTATTTGCAGACTCTCTTGTAATGGCCTTTTACTTTATATCTTTCTTGATTGTATTTTTAATAATATTTCTAAGACAAATGGTAGAACAAATAGAATGGTGTTAATGCAGTTAAATCGGGGCTATATTCTTTAAGAATACCCATTTACTGTCAATGGAATTTTGCTAGATTTTGATTAAATTTGCTTGTGTTTCAGATTGAATTCGGGATGGTCTTTTCACACGAGCAATCCGGTGAAAAAGACATCGAAAACGAACATATCTGAAGCTGAACAAGAAGAAATTAAGAATGTTATTCAAAGAGCAGATCGCATCCAAAAACAAGAAGAATATCGTATCGGGTAGATATTTATATATACTACTTAATATATTACACACTGACCGCACATAAATTACTTCTCGAGTAAATCAAATTTTCGTATTTCGAATTTTTGACATTTAACGATACTGAGGGAATGATTTTAACGTCGAAGCGACAGTACATGAAAACCAATATATATATGAATATTTCTCCGCAATAATATTCGTCAGTATATTAGCGATTGCTTGCCTGTTATTTTTTAAATTCCTCATATTTTTGTAATAAGGTAACGTAAGAATTTGTACCCTTGTAGGATTAATTAATTATTGGGTTGTGTGAGCACGGCGAGACTTGAGATATTCTTCCATAATTTCACATTTGCTTTTGTTCAGTGAAAATGAAATTTAATTCTTCTTTGTTTATTGCCAAAGAGAATTGTACACGCTAGAATAAACATATTGAAGTAATTTCTTTACCTTAGGTAAACCAGAAAAAAATGATTGAGATGAAAAAAAGACGTTTCAAAATCGAAATTTTACGGCTTGAACTACAATATTTTTATGAACATCCGCTCGCCTATTCTACCGCTCGTCCTTCTGATTGTGGCTGTAAAAAAACTACGTTGTCCTTTGCATTTTTATTTTTTTAGTCACAGGATGTAATCCAGCGAAGACTTTCCCATTTCTGGTTATTTACAGCTGTAACTGCATGAGGCTTTCTGAAATACGTCTAGGTCCTAACAGTATTTGACCTTATTTTGAAAGCTAACTACATACGTAAACACTATGTGGTCTTCGAAAAGCTACCTAATAACCATGAGAAATTTATGGTCGTGAAGTTTGTCTCCAAATATTTTAGTCTCGTTTACGACAAGCCCAGACAGTTGGCTAATGATTTTTTTATTCTAGCCTAAAGTGAATAGTATCTGCGGTGGTACTGTCAACAATTTCCTGCTGCGAATTTAATTTCATTTGAAATTGTTTTTCTCGGAGTGTTTGCGATGGAAGGGGTCAACTGAAGATTCGAATCAATTATTTTTATCACGTTTGCTCATGAAAAACCTATACATCTGGTCTTTAAGCCTGATTTAATAAGATAGAGAAAATCTAACTGAGATTCAATGTGTTTTTCAATTATGTTGATTGAAAGGTTATTTTAGCGAAAGAAAGAAAGAATTAAAGTAAGAAAGAAAGAAAAATGAATGAATGAATGAATAATTGAATGAATGAATGAATGAATGTAAGGAAAGGAAAGGAAAGGAAAGGAAAGGAAAGGAA